TCTGCCTTTGTGTTTGTCTATCTCTTTCACATCTGTGAATCAATATTCTCTCCCCCTCCCGACTTTTGGTGACTTTGATGTTCCTCCCCTCTGTAAAACAAAATGTGGACTTAAGGTCTAATGATAACTATTAAATTGCCTGCCATTTGAAATAAACAAATATTTATTTATTTATATCCAATGGCAGGCGTTTTGATAGTTATCATTAGCCCTTTAGTTGACTTCAGGCTTCACAGATGGGAAGGGACATCAAAGTGAAAAAAGGTCGAGATGGGGGGGGGACAAAAGAGTGTTTCAAAGATGTAAAAGAGACAGACACAAAGTTGGAAAAAAGGTGAGGTGAGTACTGTGGAAGTAGTCGAATTTGACATACAGTAGGGTGATGGTAATTTGGAGTCTGAAGTCAACTGCCAGTTAATAGACTTTTTTGCCGTATGAGTATACGTTGCCCAGGGTGCGCCATGTGGAGGTAAGTCTATCGCACACCCCAAATAAACAAATAAATATCAGTGAGTTTTTGGGTTTCAGAAATGTTGGTGTATTTTTTTCAAAAATAACATTTATAATTCAGACTTTGGAAATAATGATTTTAATAAGGCTAAATCGATATGTTTTTATTGGTCTCAAATTGCGTGGCAGTGAGGCTACATGGGTGCGCAATACGAATTTCATGCAACACCAGTTTAGCCATTAAAACGTTGAATTTTATTTTCTCTTAATTGCCTTTTTGCCTATTCGAAAGCTCGTTAAGATACTGTGTAAAAATGCAAGCTTTCCTTTGCAGTCGTTTTCGATAAAGCTGTTCTTTACCAATAACCCCTTATACTTCTTTTCCCCATTAACTGAAATAAGCGTTCGCCTTTCAGGTTCATATGTCATTCTCGCTTTTTCTATGACCGATATTTGACCCAAGTTGCCTTGCACTAATGGAGTTCGATCACTCTCTCTCTCTCTCTCTCCACAATCGACAGACGTTTTTATCACATCATCTCGAACCAATCTAAGGCGTTTTTCTTATGTTTTAAACAGGGGTGCGCGATGGACTTACTTCCACATGGCTCACCCTTCCCTAACGTATACTCATAAGGTAAAAAGTCTAATAACCGGCAGTTGACTTCTGACTTCAAACAACCATGGCCCGACAGTATGTCATATTCGATCGATTCCACAGTACTCACCTTGCCTTACCTCTGTCTCTTTTACATCTATGAATCACTCTTCTGTTCCCCCTCCCCTCTCGATTCACTGAGACTTTAATGTTCCCCCCCCCCGCTGTGAGGTTCGAAGTCAACTAAAGGACTAATGATGGCTATCATAAAGTCCGCCATTTGGTATAACAATATAATTAGAACATGTGAGAGGTGAACGCAGTTTAGGAAAAATTTTCCATGAGTGCTAATTTAAGAGGGACAACCACGTGCTGTATAGGTGATTTAAAATGTTTCGTAAAAACATGGCACAATTTTATCGTTTCGCAAATGTATCGCATTGATTTTCCTCATTAAAAATGGTTTGCACTTCAAATAAACAATAGGCGAATATGTTGGCTTTGGAAAATAGGTAACAAATAACTTTCATGGGGTGATAAGGCAGTTTTGCTGATTTAATTTGCCATTCCATCGATTATTTGTCATATCAGTAGTAACTAAATAGCTGTGTAATTTCTTTAAATTTACGCACCATGAGAAGTATTGTCAAAGGCATTTCGTATGAGTGGGTGACATGATATCGAATTATCGATATTGCTAAATTATGGGGGCTTGAATGAAAAAAAAATTAACATAGGTTAACTTTCGTAAAGGTGGGGTGTGCGATAGACTTACCTCCACGTGGTGCACCCTGGGCAACGTATACTCATACCGCGGAAAAGTCTATTAACTGGCAGTTGACTTCAGACTTCAAACTACTCTCACCCCATTGTATGTCATATTCGACTACT